AACCAAGCACACTCACATTCTTAGAGACAATTTAGAATCACCAATTAACCATTTTTGGACTGTGTGAGGAAGCCGGAGAACCCGGAGAGAACCCACGCTGCACGGGGAGGCGTCCTGACCGGGAAGCTAATTAGCATATTGTCTGAAATATCCTCCTGAATGAGTCGGTGTGCATTAACGTTTGGGTGGAACTGTAAATAAAAGCGGAGTGATCCTTTGAAGTCTTTATTGAATATGTTGTAGAATTCTGTTTTGATGTGCCGTGTGTGTGTTTGTGTGCGGTCTCAGTTGGACACCTGAGTCATAATCCACACTGTACCGTATGCTGGCCAACATTCATTGTGAATGCAGGTTAGTGTGCTTCCTTGTATGCCTCCTTGCAGTGTTATCCCACTCTCTTTCTTCTTGTTCTTTTTTTTCAGCCTTCAGGCAGGACTCTGGCACACTGTTTGCTGATGTGTGTGTGTGTGTGTGTGTGTGTGTGTGTGTGAGCCTTAGTCTTTGGTACTGAGCCAACTTCTGGCTTGTTCACTGTATCCGACTGTGTGCACGTATGAGTGTGTTATCTCTCACCCACCAGCATGAATGTTCCTCCAGCTGACACAGTGTGGTAATAGAGACATTTTATTGTGTGCACACAAACACAAACACACATTTATAGAGACATGGGTCGCACCTTATATAATGAAATGGTTCCTGTTTTTTAATGTAACATATCTGAGTTGTTGCTTCATTATTCCCTTGATGTTGTAAAGGCTAACCCTGATCCTAAAATGGAAATGTCACACCTCAACAGCAAATAAGACTTCAGTGTATTATTTTCCAGATGTCCCTGTTTCTTCAGTGTTTTCTTTATGAAAAAAAAAAACCCAAAAACAAGCAGTTACAGCATAAAAATAGCGTGTCTCAACCTCTATTTGCAGGCTTTAATGAGGAGCTCAGATACGAGCTGTGGTTGGGAGACGCTGTGTTGTATGTTCTTCGTCTGCCCGTCCACTGGGAGCTGTTTTTTTAGTTGTTTTTTTTTCACAGCAGTTTTCTTTTTTGTTGTTGATTTTAGTGGAGAGAAGGCATTGTTGTGCGCTCCCTCCAGATTTCAGCCGAATGTGGTTTTAGTGCTCAGAGTGCCAACTGCTACAAGTACAGAAATATGTCAGCTTTGAGCTTCCAGAGGACACGGGGGACTAAGTGGCCTGCTGTAGCTCACACTTTGATTGGAGTTGGAAGTGTGTCCCTCAAACTTTTAAAACTTTAAAGTGCCATTGCTTGGGCTGGTAATTCCAGCAGGAAATACTCAATGTCCAAAATTAGTTTAAGCACAAAAAGTTTTACTTAATAGACTGAAATAGTACAATACATCTGTAAAAATGCATGCTTTGGGCCCATTTTCTGGAGCACAGATTGCATAAGACTACAGATATTACTCAGCAGTCGCCCCGTTCCACTGAGGTACTTTGTCTACGCGATGAGTCAGAAAAGTTCCAGGACTGGCATCACAAAAGATATTTTTCAAACCCAATCTGCAAACTACAAGTTTTCCCCTTCAGACGGTCAACCAGCGCATCTACAAAGAGATCCTGCAGCGTTTGTTTCGTTCAGTGAAGAGGCAGAGTTGTGACTGCTTCACCACGACGACCTGCTCACAGCGCCCTGAGCATCCCACAGCTCCTGCTGAGAAGAACATCTCTGTGCTGGAGCAACCTCCCTACTCACCCCACCTGGCTCCGTGGGACTTGTTCCTCTTCCCCAAGCTCAAGGGGGTCATCAAGGAGACCCGTTTAGAAGACGTGGACGACATCAACATGGCTGTGACGACGGAGCTGCAGAAGATCCCGGAAGAATCCTTCCAGGAGTGCATGGCGGCGTAAAGAGAAGGCTGGGGAAGGGTGTTAGACTCCAGGAGGATTACTTGGAAGGGGAACACTTGTAGTTTGTACTTTGGATTTGAAATATATCTTTTGTGACACCAGTCCTGGAACTTTTTGACACACTTCCACACCTAAATAGATGTTAGTAAAAAGGCTGATTACGTATCCATCCATCATCTCTACACCTTAATCCTCACCAGGGTCGTGGGGGGCTGGAGCCTATCCCAGCTGACTCAGGGTGAAGGCAGGTTCACCTGGACAGGTAACCAGTCTATCACAGGGCTACACTTAGAGACCTCAGCATGTTTCTGGACTGTGGGAGGAAGCCGGAGCTGAAGGAGGCACGAGTACGCTGACACAAATAGGATTCTGAGGAGATCTCAGACTGAACGTCATGTGATGAATGAATTAGGACAAAAACACAAACCTTCACACTCCTAACAAACAAAACCGACTGTTAGGATTTGCAGGGCTGTTAGCAGCTCATCTACATTTTTCCCTCACATGGTTTCATTTCAATAAATGATCCATTGTTTCAAAATCTCAGAAAAAATTAAAAATTGGAGGAAAACTGAAAACAGGTTTGTGCATCAGTTTGTCTTTTGCTTCTTTGCTCTCCAGTTAATCATGTGACAGGAGACTGATCTGCCGCCAGCGTATGTAAAGCTGGATATGAAGTAGCCCTGTTGGTGCTTCTACTTGTCTTACCGCTGAGTTAACGATGTCTCACAAGATTTGAGTGTTAACAATTAAAATAATGTCACGATTTTAATAATTGATTAATTAATGCTCCGCTGATTCAGCTTTGCACTTTTAGAACACTGTCCGACGAAAGATAGTTTAAGAAGTTAGAGACACTGATGTTATCGTATTTCACACTCTCCTCTGCTGCCTACATTACCCATCATGCCACTGAACCAGCAGCAGGTCGCTCAGAGACTCCTGTTTTGTGCTCGGAGTGGTGAACGTCGCCTGGAGCTTGCAGCAGAAATAAGCAGGCGGTGAAATCACTTCTTTTCTTTCCACACTTTTCAGACTGACATTAAGTCAAAGGACATCACTTAAAGACAATTACCAGCTCCCACTGGAGACACTACGGGCTTTACGCGCATGCCGTGAAGGTCCCAAACACCTGCATGTAAAACCAACAGTTTCCCTTTAAGACTTTGCCGCTGCTTGACTGAACAAAATAAAAGCGCCAGTAAAAGTCAAAGCTCTTTGCTGCCTCCATAATGGCCTTTAAAGCCATCATAATTTTAGTAATGACATTGATAAAACCGTTATTTTATTTCACCACAGCGTTGAGGCCACTAATGCGCACTTTATTTTAGCTGGAACTGTGCTTTCAAAGGTTCATGATTAGCTTGGGGCTAAATCTTCCTTCTTCTTTTTTTTTTTTAATCCAGGAAGGCAGCAATCTCTGATTTGAGCTTCCATTTTTGTAATTCTTTCTTTCGTACGTAGCCAATCAAACGCACGTTAAATTTGACAACTTGTGGTGTTAATGAACGTGTGTTGTGTTTGTCCACCGTTGAAACTCCCCGTGGTGGAGACGTGTTTGATCATAACAGCAGCTTCTGTGCTGTGGGGTGGTGGGGGCTGACACACACCTGATTGGAAGCTCTGCAGGTAAAGTATTATGGGATTTGGATGCCCTTCACGCCTTGATTAAAGCTGGTTTTAAATAAACGCTTCAGCTGGAGCGGTGGCAACTCATGAAGCATCGGCAGCGCGGCGCAGGTCCACGTCCCGGCGGTGTGGCCACAGCGAGCAGCTCACTGCTCACACAAAAGGCTGATGCTAGTTGAGTTTAAGCCAGCTTTTTATGGCTCAGCGCGAAAGTGAAAGCTCCCGGGCATTTTGTCTCCATCCTGCCATCCTCTCATCAGCAGTAAAAGCCCTCCATTTACAGGACACGGAGCTGAGAGGGAATGCAGTGTGCCACAGGGCAGCGGTTACACAGACAGATTACCTGCAAATCCCACCCAGGGGGAACGGAGAGCAGCCACATCAGCAGACTGCACGCACACACACACACACGCACACACACACACACACTGGCACACACACACACACCTGGAGGTAAGACTACGACCACACCAGGCCACGGAGAGCCAAGCCACTTCATTCTTGATGCAGGAGCGAAGCAGGAGGTGCTGACGCGGACTGACTGGCAAAATGTAAAATGTGAGCGGACTAGCAGGGGAGCAGAGAGCCCCTATAAGGTCAGGGAAGTGATGGGAAGTCATAATAATGATTGAGTCAAATGGCAAAGGTCCTACTGTTGGCACTGAACCATCTGCATGCTAAAACCTGCCTGGGAGGGCGACGCATGGTCCTCAGAGAACCATCCCCGACTCCAGGCTCACGTTCAGGCAGCTACAGGTCCTTCTCTTTTTTATTATTATGCAGATGTTATAGACTGAAGTGTAATGGTCCAGAAGACAGATATTTCTGAGATTCTGTCATCATTTCATAAATGGTTGAGCTCAAACAATCATCGAAACTAATTAAGAAAATACAAAAAACAATTTGATGTTTGAAAAGCTCACTGAAAATGTGCAAATTGGCGTTTAGTTAAAAATGAAATGCTGTTATTTGATGGAGATCAAGTCACATGACCACAGTTTGGTAACGAGTCACACCTGTGGGATTATCTAACGATGCAATACGGCTGCAGAGGAAATGATGTGGCCCATAAATAGCTGTTCTGCACACGGTAACTGTGACTTTTATTTGTTTGTAATATTAGTCAAAGTGCATTGTACGGACAGTTCTATGCACAAGCTGGTATATTTGGACCCGTCTAACGTCTGAATCTAGCTCGACAGACTTATAATTAAAGTCTGTCTAATTAGAGACACTTTTTTGGGAAACATGTATTTGAAATGTTTTGTACATCCTTTTTGTTGTTGTTGTTTTCACGGTGTCTGCTGACTGAGGAGAAAAATAAATGTTAAAAGACCTCCGTGTGATGCGTGGCCTTCATTACATCAGACCACAGGAGCTGCATGAAGTCTTCTTGGTGCAGATAGTGTCTGAATTAGGTGTGACGGCTTTGCACACAGTTATTAGGTTGCTGAGGTCCTGTACCGAGTGATGACAGTGTTCACAAAAAAACAGGAAACAGAACGATTTTTAGGACTTTTTAGTGAAACACATTGTACAAAATCACATTCAGCACACACACAACACGCACATCTGAATCTATAGGAAGTCTTTCATAGCATCAGTTTATTTTCTGAGCTAACCGCAGTGTGTGGTATGGCTTTGATTCGAAGGCAACAGAGCGGCGCTGCAGCGTTGGTGTGCTGCTGTTAGTCAGCAGGGACGACCTCCAGGATGATCTGCAAGGTTCTGTTGAAGGAGTCTGCAGAGACAAAGAAAACAATGCAAAGATCTCCTCAAATAATAACTTTAAAACTTATCCATCTATTCATTTTTTTCATGCACAATTGAATTTGATGGTATTATTAACTGTTCGTTACCTAAAGCCTGTTGAAGCCACTTTGGTCTGTGATTGAAGTAAATGAACATGTAATATGCCGGGATGCCGGTGAGAGAAATAACAAATCCGATTCCTGTGTTGACCGGGTCGGAGTACAGAGACATGAAGACCATGAAGAAGCACGTGAGGCAGAACACCACTGGGATGAACAGTGGGACCTGTGGACAAGTCAGGGATGATGTTAGACGCTGTGTGTACACAGATGTGCATGCTGGAGGAGCAGCCGCATTCCTGTCAAGTTCACATTTCTTCTGTGAAAAATCAGAACAAATTAAGGCAAGCACGGTATGAAGTTGATTTGGTGCAGCTACAGGTGTGTGTGTGTGTGTGTGTGTGTGCACGTGTGCAGCCGCTGACCTTAAAGGGTCGGGGGAGGTCGGGCTTCGTATAGCGGAGGTAGATTAAACCCAGCACCACCACACCAATGAACAGCCACCGCAGGAAGCTCATGAAATTCAGCAGGCTGTAGATGTCGCCCACAAACAGCTGCAGCATGGTCATCGGGTACTGCACACACACACAGTCATGGCTCCATCATGTTTCCTAAACACTGCTTAACCTGAAACCAGCTGTCTCCCTAAAATGTAATGATTTACTACATGAGGAGCTGCTTTTTGTCCCTCAGAGTAGTTCAGGTCTGCACAGAGTGAGTGTAGATTATTTTATTTATATGCTCACACATATAACAGTGCCTTCAGCTAAAGCCACTGACCGAGGTGCTTGGATGTTCACAGTTATTCATTATTAAACAGAGGAATATCAAATCAGGAAGAAACAGAAGGGAAGCTCTGTAGATGTAGACAGCAGCAGTTGTTTCCTGATATTATCCTTTGTGCAGCATTTCCATAGAAAGAATGCTTTTGTATCTGGTTGTCTGTCAGGTGTTTATTAAAACACATTTTCTTCAGAGCTCAGTATGTTTAAGCTCATGTCAGCATGCAGGTACAGTGCTGAACAAATGTATTAGACCAGGGGTTCTCTGCTGGTCTCACCCTGGGACCCACATTTTCCCATGGTCATTAAGTCGCGACCCAATTTTGTTTAGAATTCAGTATTCAATGTTCAATATATTTTCCTGTGCAACATGCATTTCAGAGCATATAGACATGCATGGGGGAATATTCAGAGATCAAAACTGATTTCCTGATTCCAGCACAGTGAACGAACAGTCGGCTGTTCAGGTCCAGTCCTAGTATGAAAATCCACATTTTAAATACTCCGGCTCATATTTGCCATCTTGCATCCCAACATCAACACAGACTTAAAATGAACTTCAAGCTATGGTTACTGTGCCTGTCAAAATAAAAGGTTTTTCAAAATAAAAATGAGTCCAACCTGAGACGCACATTATATATTATTTAATTTTGACCAGCTGTCCGCGACCCACTTTTGGGTTGCGACCCACCAGTTGAGAACCCCTGGATCAGACCAGCACCCAGTGTGAGGTTTATGTCACAGCTGCCCTAAATTGCCAGCATCGGTCATTACCATAATACTTTTTAATGCTTCTGTAACGGTTAATGCACCAACATGTAGAAGCTCTTTAATCAAAATGGTATTTTTAATGCAAATATATATTTATTATGTTGTTATCTATGAATTTTCAAATTTACAGCTTTACAAAAATAACCAGAAACAAATGTAAAGCTCATTATTATTTCTTGATGATGTCAGATTATATTTATTTACTTGCATTCCTGAACAGAAGCATCAGCTTTAATTGGTTGAATGCTGACTGGATTCATTTCTGAGCCGGCTCAGATCACCGAATAAAAAGGAGACTTCAGTCGGACGTTCCTGCTCAGAACGTTTATTAGACAGATGGTCTAATAAACTTGTTAAACACTGTGTATAGAAGTAACCATGGTAACAATATCAGCTCGGCTCACAGAGCAAACAGTAATTAACACGTATTGTGATGAGTGGCATTTGTTTTAATATTAGATTGTTTTTCTTCGCTGCCATATGCTGCTGTTACAGTCGGTGGTTGTTTCTAAGGTGATTGTCTAGTAAACTATAATTAACATGAAAAAGTTATTGACTGTGTTTGTTGCAGTAAACTGACCAGTATGAGGACAGCAGCCAGCGGAGTGTGTCTGCGGATGTGGATCATGGACAAAACCTCGGGAAGCTGTCCTTCACGTGACGCCACATAAAACATTCTGGTGAACACACACATGGACACACAATCACACAGAGAAACACCAACAGGGCGACGATGGAAACTGAGTTCATACAGATTACTAAAGACAGATTATTTGACCAAAAACAAGCTCATTTTTTCCTTGAATTACATTCCCTCTGGTCTAGTTCTGCATTTACGGTAAAGTTGTTTCTATTTTATCGGTTTAGTTTTTATCAGGTTGCATCACACACATGCACACGCTGCCAAACTGGAAAATAAAGGTGCATCCCACACTGCAGGATATTAATAAGATGATGGTGCCAGAAGGAGCAGCCTGGGAGCAGCGCGCCACCTCACATGGGCTCACAGGGAAACAGATGGAAGTGTGGCGCAACAACTCGCCGTAAAGTTAATCATACTTTGTGAGAGGAATAAACTGAAAGCAGAAGGATAGACGAGTTCAGACGAGAAAGGTGTCAACGAAGTTTGTTCTTCAGCGAGAACTGCGTGTGAGGTTTTAACTGTCAGGCCGTTTCTCAGTACCGAGAACGCAAGTACAGACAAGTACGCATGCTGAGGAACGGCCTCAGTTTCAAGACCTGCAGCTGACGTTAGTCGTTTTTAGCAACGCCTGGCAACAGCGTCCACTGTAACTGCACCTGTCCCGATGTCAGCTTGTATTTAACAGACGTGTTTAATATGAATTGATTTGGCCCGAATGAGCTTGTGAGCAGTTCAGAAGGTTTCAGAATCATCTGTCAGCCATCAGATCAAGATCCCAGACCACATTTCCATTTCTGAGTTGGTTTCACTTTTCAGATCTGAAGGCTATGTCCTGGTTTTACACACAGTCCGTGGGTCGTATTCACTTTTCAAGTCAAAACTGTGTTGCTGAAGAACAACTGTGGGTCCAGTTCTGGTTCAGACATTCAGTTAAAGTCTGGAATGTGGTCAGCAGCTCTTGTAGGGCAGGAGTACGGTTCATAGACACAGTTTCCTTGCTTTAGTTGAGTCGGCTGACAAAGACAGGGGTTTCCTCAAGGAGAAAGGAACTAAAACGGAGGGTTTCAGACTCAGATGAGGTGCTGGAGCAGTGTACACCACAAGAACAGTAATGAACCTGTAAATTAATGGATGCTTGAAGAATGCGTCAAGTTCACGTTGTCAAAGACAAACAACAAAGTTTCCCTGTTTTCTGATGAGCTACAGATATTTTCCATTAAAAGCCTTCCAGTCTGCTCCATGTTACTGAACAGCCTTCGTTGCTCTTTAAGGCTATCGTCTGAGATGCAACGGTCGTTTCAGTATCAACTTATATTTGAGAATTTGCATTATACTAAATAATACAAACTAATCCTTATATTTCCATAGTCATCCAAACAAGCCATGCTTCCTGTATTGTGTAATAAATATGTGTATAGGGTTTGGTCACGCATGCTGCAGCAAACATCAACAGATCTGTACCTCGACAAGGCGAAGATGGAGCCGTTCATGGAGCCGTAGCAGGACAGGGCGACGAACACCGGCACTGCTATCGAGAAGTTCCCCAGGAGTTTCTCTGCAAACGTCTGAGGGTGGGAGGGTGAAACAGAGGGTTAGACTCACAAAAAAAAAAAAGAAAGTTTGAAGGTTTGGAAACATTTAAAAGCAAAAGTTCTGACGTGTAAAATTAAGAAATACTCAGATCATGGTCTATATCTGGATCATAGACTGTATAAAGATGGACGTAGCTACCGTGACGTCACCCGTTGGTTTCTGCACTGAGAACATGAAGCCAGGGTTTTGCTACTTCCTGGTTGACATCTTGGATTTTTGGAGCCAGTGATGCAGGGGGGCGGAGCCATAGGAGCAGCGATTGGTCAGACGGATTGAGAGGCGGCCAGAGAGGGCCCGCCTCTCAATCCGTCTGACCAATCGCTGCCGACTGTCAATCAAGCCAGCCACGCCCCTTGCCCCGCAAAATGTTGACGATTTTTTTAAAATTCAGTTTTGATTTATTTTCAGATTGGCCACCTGATCTCTGGACTTCACCATGAAAACTAATAAGAAAAACATCCTGAGCTGTAGGAATGCAGTTTTTGGTGATCTGTGATCACTTCTTTTCCAGTTCCAGTCTATGGGAGCCAGGGCTTTGTGGAGCCAGCAGCTAGTGGACGTAGTGATACTGCAGGTTTCTGACACTTGCGGGTTGGCTTCATTTTTCAGGGCCGGTTGCTACGTCCATCTTTTATACAGTCTATGATCTGGACTGAAACAAATGTTCCAGCAGGACATTGCTTGCTAAGGAGCAGTCAGACACCTGCAACAAACTGACTCCACCTTGAGAGAAACAGCACTGCTCCACCCTCTGGTTTAGAAGGATAATGAAGCCAACACACCTCAAAGCTTTGACTTGGAGACCAAGAAGACCGAGGAGTGAACACTTGTGGAGATTCCTTCGTAACTTTTCTAAACATCTGGCTTGTTTTTGACACAAATAAGTTTGCACAGTTTTTTAAAGCAATAATTGAACACTTTTCTCAGATGCTCTTCCATTTTAGTTCGCTGACTGTCTGGACACCTGGTCCCTTCTTCGCTATTAGCAGTGTTTTTCAAAATCAAGAACTATTTTTTAATTTTATTTTATTGTAATTGTGTGCAATTGGACTCCATTTGAGTGCAACAGTATAAAAGACTCTTAGTGAAATGTGGTTTGTCTTATTTTATTAGCTGTAGTTAGTTAGATGGAATTAAAGCGTTTGACAGGGCTGCTGGCAGTAATTGTCATAAATGGGTCATGCAGAAGTGGGAGCAAAAGCTGATTATTATTCATGTAGCCATTCAGTGCTGATTAGTCACAGTCCATGCTTGCATGGACAAGCGTGGACTGTGAAGAAGGGGGAGAAAAAAAAAAAAAAGAAATTCATCGTGTACATGTGCATTTGTAGTTTTATAGAAATGGAAACTGAAACGATGTTGTCACTGAAGATCCTTTCTAGGCAACGAGTCTGTAATGATGCAATGGATGCGATTAGCTTTTCTGTGTGCTCCACTTCTGTTTGTACGTTTTAAATATTCTGAACACAGCGCTGAGGCATTGAAAGCAAGAAGACACGTTTGACACATGATATGCGATTCCAGCTGACAAAACAGGATTACTTTGGATTTATATGTATTTTCCCCACATATAGAAAACACACACGGCGATGTTTGTAGCTACGCTCAGGGATTTACACACTGAAAATCTTCACCATAAAATGGGGCACGGTGATTGTTTTTGGTCCTCCGGGCCAATACCTGGCTTCATGTGGACAATGACTGTGTCCACATTAAGTCAGCAAGTTTTTATGAATTTCTACAAAGAAGAAACACAACACAGCCCCTTTAAGAAACGCACGACTTTGTGTTGATCTGAGAGCTTCTGGATGTGTTGGCTTCATGTCTGAATAAACACCCCAAGTCATGACGAGGTCAGACCGAAGAACATTACTGTGTCATTTGCAACAGGAAGCAAGTCTAAACTCTAATGTGCATGCATTCACATTACCAGACAGCCAGACATCACTTATTGTAAGTTATGTCAAGTGTTTTAGGGAAAAAGCTTTTTCCATATTTCAGCTCCAACATTGGCCCTAAAAACACACTTTACAGCGAAATCCTCACCAGGGTCATGGGGGGCGGAGCCTATCCCAGCTGACTCAGGGCGAAGGCAGGTTCACCTGGACAGGTAACCAGTCTATCACAGGGCTACACTTAGAGACAGACAACCAAGCACACTCACATTCACACCTACGGACAATTTACAATCACCAATTAACCTCAGCATGTTTCTGGACTGTGGGAGGAAGCCGGAGAACCCGGAGAGAACCCACGCTGCACGGGGAGAACATGGAGACTCCACGCAGGAAGATCCCGGGTGTCCTCACTGGGACGCCAACCGGTGACCTTCTTGCTGTGAGGCAACAGTGCTACCCACCTGCACCACCCTGCAGCCCATTTTGCATCTTTTATAGACTTAAATGTCAATTAAAAAAATACCAATAATAACTGTAATCCAAGTTTGGTGAAACATTAACAGGAACTGAAGTTCAGTTTTCAGCTCTTTGTACGAGTCTTTCTTCCAACTTCAGCGCCTCATTAAATACATGTGATTGTAGATTGTCCCCGACACAGAGACAGGATGGATCAGCAGCTAATGGCAGGTCGCTGACAGGTGAGCTGTCACACAGTCAGCTCATGAGCTGCAGTATGTGGTCACACGGTGGTCACAGTCCTCACATTCAGCTCTGCACAGGATTCATCCTTCACTGTAGGTAAAGTAAGAGTTCAGTGATCTTCTCACATGGACAGGATTATTAGACTTGATTTAGTCTTTTTGTTTTTGTTCATCATTTGTTTTTGTGTCTTTTACATCACTTGATGTACTTTCAAATCTTGTATGAATCCAAAATATCATGTATGACTGTCTGAAGACATGAGGAAGCTTCATGTAAATGAGACCTGTCTCTACATTTCATAGATCAAGAACGTGGCGACATCAGGTTCCCTCATCTGATCATTTCTATTTCTGTGGCCAATTCAAGCCGTTTTGAACAAACTGTTAACTGCAGTAGAACCTGACACACACTAGTTTTATCATCCTTTCCTAATCATAGTCATTTTGTCCAACAAGCATCATTATCTGCACCTTAACGAGTGTCGACCCGGCTAGCTTTAGCATTGCTTAGCACTTCTGTCACACGTAACACGACAAAAGATTTTCCAACCTTTTGGGATTAAGCTGTTCCCTGACAAACACCACAGCAGTAAAACTTTATAAAGTCCAGTGTGCAGCTGTTAAAGGATGTGACAGGTATCAGTTCAGCCCGCCAGAGAAGTCTGATGTTCATCCTGATTTCTGCAAAAAGCACTGGATTCAGTTCCAGTTCGGTCCTATCAAAAACATCTCGCACATTAATGATTTCATTGAGATTAAAAATCCTACTTTCAATGCAAAATAAAGGGTTGTCCACCAACAGCATTTAAAACACCAGACCAGCACCTACGAGCAGTCCTGTACTGACTGACTGCCACCGAGCAACTCGCACAAATGCATGAAAGTTGTTCATATCTTCTGATTCTCTTTAAAGTTCTGGAATTTAATACCAATACCTTAAATACCTTTAATACCTGGTTGTTTGCCTGAATGGGTTTTTTTTGCATTTATTTTTTCCTCAACCAGTAAAACTCTCCTGTAATGGTTGTGCTACTGACTTGCACTAGACACAAAAAGAAAACAGCCGACACGTATTTCTGAAGTTCTTTCCGTCGACGCTCTTACATTATTGAACAGCCCTATAATTCAGGCAGTCTAAAATTACTAATTGTGCCTTGAGGTCAGTCTCTTCAAGACAAGTTCTAGACACCAGTTAAACTCTGTAATTAAGTTTGAGTTGTAAACTTCTTCCCACTGTCTGTGAGAAAGGAAGAACACAGTGTAATTCCTTTATCTCATCACAGCCCTCTAAGAACAGATAAATGCTCTTAACACCTTTCTTAAGGCGCTCGTATCATTCATTGTGCAGAGGGCAATAAAACTAACCGCATTACAAAAGACGAGTGATCTCTTAGTGAATGAGTCTTGCCTGGCTATAGGCTTACAGTAGCACTGATAGCAGTCCTCAGCCTAATACGAAGTGGTGGCTGTTATTGGGGAATGTCTGTGATGTGATTAGCGCTAACAGGGCTGGGCTGGAACAATTACATTAACAGCTGCTGGGAAGCTGCGCTGTCAGAGGCACTTCACTAATAATGACATGTTAAGTGCAGGAAGGTAACCGTGGCGCTCACGTCGGGGGTAAACATCGCCGACGCCGTGGAGGTGAGACGTCAAGTCAATGCTTTCAAGTGGCACACACAACTTTCTGCTGCCAGGAGGCCAAGGTCAGCGCTAAATGGGAAGAGCTCACCATCAGAAATCAATCAGACTCGATACCTTTGCTGTATCACTACAGCTTTAACAAGAAGGAGCTGCTGACTTAATGCATGAACAACACAGAAGTTCAGCCTCCCAGTTTGGGCTTCTCACTGCTGCTTCTGCTTGTATTGCAGCTGAAGGACCGTAAAGCACAAAGAAACTGAAAGACTTTCTTCAACCATTTCTCTCTCTCTGTTTTTTTGTGTTAAAACAAGGTTTGTGAAGTCTCTCCAGCTGTCTCTGATGGCTGGCCCATGTGTTCACGCTGCCGTACAGCAATGCATCCGTTACAAGTTCCACTGATTCACGCATCCAGTCTGTTTCAATCCGTTCCATCTTAGCCAACCTCTTGTGTGGATGCCCAAAAAGCTATCAAACACTCCTTTCTTCTGGATAAGTCCACCAGAGGACCCACCTCCTCAGTGTCTCAGCCTGTCTTGGTCCCTGAAACCCTCCTTGGATCGAGCCCTGGCTGTCCGCTCACTGGAGCTCACCTTGTGCTCTTCAGTCTTAATTGTTAGTCCCACCAGTCAGCGGTTTCGTCCTGCATCGACCAGAGGTACTGTTGTCTTCTTGTTGTCCCAGTAATGTTGTATCACCGTTGCTCTTTTGTACCTTGAAACCAGTCAGAGTTAGTAGGTTCCCCTCAGTTTCTCCTTTATGAGTTGGATTCTCCTTTGGTTTAGTTCTGCTCTCTGTTATTGTAAATCAACACTTTATTCACTGATCAACTGGTCTCTTCATCATCGCCCAGTTACACCTCCCAGTTCCTCCATGCTGAGGACGACTGACTCAAAAATAAAGTATAGGGTAAACAAGTAAGATTTAATAATATTAGAATCTAGATAACAATATAATCTAAAGTGCTTTTAATGTTAAACAGCAAATAGTGCACCGTCAAGCTCAGAGGAAATGCAGCTACTGTAAGGAAATAACACTGAATAACTCTCCCTTGTCACAAGTCAGTCCACAATGAAGCAAAAGCATTTCCAATTCTACAGTTTCATTTAGCTTTTCTCCAAAGCGACGTACATCTGAAAGCAGATACAACACAAGCGAGGATCTGTTCAGGAGAAAACTATCTGGATCAGAGCCATAGAACAAGTTTCAGTGTGACAGCCGACAGCAGGCTGTGTGGGAGGGAAGAGGATCGTATATGTTGTTCAGTGAAGAGCTGCTCTTCAGTCTTTTCTTTAAGACTGAGAGGGAATCAGCAGATTGAACAGAGTTTGGTAACTTGTTCCACCACCGGGGAGCCACAGAGGAGAAGCTACCGGCCCTGTTGTGGTGGTTGGATCGGGCGCCTTCGGTTAGTGAGCGGGAGGGAGCGTAGACCTTAAGGAGAGAGCTCAGGTCGGAGGAGCTGTTCTCGTTGTGGTTTTATGGGGAAGTGTCAGAGTTTTGAATCTGATGTGGGCCTTTCTTTACAGAGAGCAGGACAGAAGCTCATAACGGGACATAACCCCGTCATTGTGTTGCAGGTCACGCTGAGCTCATTTCCACTTGCGTAAAACATGAACACACTAAAAACAAAGGCTCAGACACTCATCAGGCTGTTGCTCTAGCGCCACCTTGGTTGACTTTTTGGACATTTAGTCATACAGCATGGTTTTTTAAATTATTTTTTGGATGAACTAATTTGTTGATTTTTTTTTCCTTCTTGCTTTTTTCATTACCTCAGCAGCGACCATGTGGATTGCTGCAACACTTGGTGCAGACCTTCTATGGGACTTGATGACTTCGGCTCTTTTTCCTTTTGCAGCCTGACGAGGTTTTACACCAGCGAACTGTTCCATGTATTTTAGTTCAAGCATTCAGGATCCTCACGTTATCTTTCTTTCTGAATGATCTGCCTGCAATCATATAGCCTTGACTTGAACTGTTTGTTTTTCCTTTTAGCTGATTATTTGTCAGTTTGTTTAATCAGTGCTGGTCAGTGTGACCTGTAACACAGCTGCTGTCTGTTTGTTGGTTTGTTTGAAAAGAGTTTGCTTCATTCTGAGAACAAAATGCTGCATGTTGTCATTAAACTGCATGTTTTTGTGCCACATGTTGTACAGCCATCCTTCCACTTCATGCTCTCTTTTATTTCTCTTTTAGATTTTCGCCCGTTACTCTTTTTCTATCGGTGCTGCCTGCTGTCCGTCTCTCTTTTCTCTTTCTTTATCTACTTTTATCTTCAGCTCTTGTCTTCATTCCCCTCTGTGATGTCATCTTTTTAATCAGTTTTACCTTCCCATAGTGACCCAGCCTCTTCTTTTCCATGTTTATTGTGTGTATTCTTATATTTTGAGTGTTTGCCTGCACTTCTTATACACGTTGTTTTCCCGTCCTACCTCGTCTCTTTGCGAATTCTGTTCTAAAAAGTGCTATACAAATAAAGTTGATTATTATCATCATCATCATCATCATCATAGTTATTATTATTATTATATTATTATTATTATGATTAGACTAAAACAACATGTCTCTATGCTCATTGCACACCTCTGCCTGGTGGTCCTCGGCTCTATTGCTCACGTGGTCACAGATTATGGGAGAAATAGCGAAGTAAAAACGAATCAAACAAAGATTTATTTTGTTGCGTTCATTAAATAATAAAAGCCAAAAACAAACCCGTTTCCCACAACACGGCAAAGCCCTGCTTAGCTTCTCCTCTATGTTTAGGTTTTATTGTGGCCGGCATTAACTAAAATTGCCAACTAATTCTTAATTGAATTGGAAATGTGTTGTTGATCAACTATAAACAATTAAGGAATCAAGTCTAAAGTAAAGGTTATGAGCAACATTAACATTTGGCCCATTTCGTCCATCAAGACCAGCAGCAAAAGACGGTTTTCCACCAGGAGCTCCAGGAACGTTAAAAGTTCTTCAGGCGCATTGTGTTTCCTCAGCAGCTCCAAGCACCAGTAAGATTAAGGAGTTTAGTCGTCTAGCAAATCAACACTGTGACTGTCTTTCACAAATTCTTTCCTCCTGTTATCCTCCGACCAAACAAGACAACAACGCGGGTCGTTCAGGTCATCACGCTACAAGGAGCGCTCAGTGTTTCTGATGATGTGACTGATCAGAGTGCTGAAATAAACCTCCATCAGTTTGTTTGTGCTGCCCGAAATCGACAACAAGTCCTCACGAACGTCTTCTTCAACAAATAATTGATCACTAAAGGCCAAGTGGTCTTCCAAAGCTAAACCTCCTCCCTGTCCGAGCAGACTAGACACCATGTGTCCTGGTCCAAAATCCACTTTGACCAACTGTGTTTGATTTTTTATTTCTCTTATATAATTATTAAATAATGTGTTTCCTCTTATTACAATGTGAGAAAAGAGGGAGTTGGGTGATTTAAATCATACGCTAGCCAGTAGCTCCTGCTGGGTTTAATTAGCTGCTGCACACTGCGCTTTCACACCCAGACTGAGGCTAAATTACCATTCAGGCAAAGTGAGCAACTACCCAAGGGGTCCAAGAAAACTCCCCAGGTTCCCTCCACAAAACTTCTGTCTCCATAATTCCTTAATTAATCAAAGTGTTAGAATTGTGTTCAGCTGAAGTAAAATATCAGACATGATGGTTGTTTCCGTGCCGGGCTCCGTCTGGCAGCAGAACTAAAATCAAATTAGTTTGTGAACCTGGATAATTTTAGATCCTAAATTTTTACTGTCTGGCAAGTAATGAACACGCAGAGCAGGCTGCGATATATCATCACATTATTTCATCTGGAGCTGTGAGGCTGCAGCCAGCGTTTACTCTATCACCCACGCTTCTCACAGAATCATTGTTTTTTAATAGCTGATTGTTAGTTTCGTGAACAAAATGTCAAAAACAGCCAAAAGATCCATCATTAATCCTTGAATCCCATTCAAAAGTGTGTCTGACAATCTATATGAAAGGTCAGTAATGGGAAATAACAGACCTGCAGTAGGATGGTGGGGGTCATTCATGTTAGTCCTATAGTGCCTAAAGACTTCATAACTTTAACTGTAAATGTATTCGATTACACTAACACCTAAATCACGTCGTGTCTCGACCAAGCATCTGTGGTGCTCATCAAACTTCAGATTGGCGTCAACATGTTTTATTAAGAAGCTCGTTTTCAGTTGATTTATCTTTTCCCTAATTTGTAAAAAATTACGTTTCTGTTTCTCAATCCCATTTCTTTCATTTGTTGCTCCCCTCATCACCGGGACGTAACAACCATCCATCCATCCATCATCTATACACCGTTTAATCCTCACCAGGGTCATGGGGGGCTGGAGTCTATCCCAGCTGACTGAGGGTGAAGGCAGGTTCACCTGGACAGGTAACCAGTCTATCACAGGGCTACACTTAGAGACAGACAACCAAGCACACTCACATTCACACCTACGGACAATTTACAATCACCAATTAACCTCAACATGTTTCTGGACTGTGGGAGGAAGCCGGAGAACCCGGAGAGAACCCACGCTGCACGGGGAGAACATGGAGACTCCACGCAGGAAGATCCCGGGTGTCCTCACCGGGACGTGAACCTTCTAGCTGCAAGGCAACAGTGCTAACCACTGATCCACCTTGCAGCCCACCACCAGGGATGATTAAGCATTTACCAGTACTATTAACAGTACTGCTAGTCTCACCTAGTTTGTCAGTAGTTTTTATTCATTTGTTTGTTTTATTTTAAGAGGGAAAAAAAATTAAATAAATCGACATTCATGAGCAGGACTCTGCAGCAGCATGTTTGGACCAAATCACTGCTATGTACTATAAAGTAATGACAAGAATGTAAAATAAACACAATTATTTGCAGCGTTGGTATTGTTGGGAAAAGGATAGAAGTTGGACTTTGTTGGTGGGCCCAATACTTTAATTGCTGTTTTCATCTACTTACCACGGCAACAGCCTGCGAGGCCAGCAGCTCCTCTGCCGACATCACCGTGTAGTAGGCCACGTTGGTCAGCACGTAGCAGGAAGTCACGATGGCCATGGAGATACAGATGGCTAATGGCACAGTCCTGAACAGACCAGAACAGAAACATCTCAGTGTCACGCACTTGGAAAGCTCACCCACCGTCCTCTCCTCTCTGTTGTTTCTCTTATCTCAGTTTTTTTTTTTCATGTCTGTTGTCTCTTCAGTCGTGGATGTATCATCACTTCTTTGAAAAACATCACAAGAAATGAGGCTAGGAATGAAGCAGCGCTGTAATGTCTCACATGTTTTAAAAAAGAAAATCCCGTCACCCTTCTGCTGCTCCCACTTCCACTTTCATACAAACACTGAGTTCCTCCATCGCTTCCAGTTACTTCCACTGTGGTGTTTTTGTGTTTTGTTGTTTTAGGATTGCTAATTGTGTGTGAAGCTTTTCATTTTTCATCATAAAATCCATTCCACATGGAAGAAATACAAATGATGCTAAAAACAAGCAAACAAAAAAACAGAGAATAAGTCGTCCAGGAGTCTGCTGTGGCATCAGCTGCTTAACATATAAAACTGTTATTATTACTGTTATGACTGTTGAGAGGTCAAGATGCAGAATAAGTTCTTAAAAAGTCTGTGTTGTAGAGCAGCTTCAATGACAACTTGCAAAGATGCATTTATAAGCACCACGTCTCCATCAGGCACATAGTTAAGCATGTAGGAAACTGACTGATGACGGTTTCAAAATGTCACATGTTTCATATATTTAAATATGGTTCTCTCTCTGTTCGGCACCTGCCTCATGAAAAAAGATTAAGATACAGATTTAACTTGGAGAATATAGCAGAGCAAGACCATGTACGTATTTAAACACTAAACACAGGACGTGTTTCCTGTGTCGAGTCTTGCTGCTGCGCTCTGAGTTGCATCTGCTCAGATAGATAGATGGATGGATAGATAGATAGATAGATAGATAGATAGATAGATAGATAGATAGATAGATAGATAGATAGATAGATAGATAGAACTTTATTGATCCCTTGATCTCTGGCTGACTGCTGTAAGTTGGTTGTTTGTGCCCCAAGGTGGAGAGTGGCGCTATTAAGGAATATGATCAGGACCAATAATCAGGACATCAGTCTGATCTGTGTTTGGTTAAAGCTCCTAATGGCAGCAGGCAGTCGTCCAAGTAAACCCAATGTTCAGGGTTAAAGAGATAACTGGCAATAACTGGCATGGCAGTTGCAGGACACGGGTGAAACGGTGAATAACAGGGTCAAGGGGCAACGTATATGAAGTAAATAAATGGGGGACGAGGACTAAGCCCTGTGGTACCCCACAAGAACTACAGTAATCAAAGTATGCCACAATAATTTTGAACACTGTGTTTGCTAAGAAAGATGAAACCCAATTTAAAGCAGCTACACATGGGCCACCGTAGTTCCTGAGTCTGCTGATGAGAGAACGAGGTTCAGAGGATCTGCACTCATGAAGAAGTCATTAGTTTCTCTGTAGGGCTGCTTCTGGATTCTTTCTAAAGAGCTGCTGAAATTTGTCACATATGTTATTTTGTTCCATTATTTCTTGTCAGCAATTTTTGAACCCAAACTAATTATATAGCGCTATAGTTCTGGGGAAGTGTTGCATCTGAACCAGACTTTCTGGATACAGGCCTGTTAGTCCAGGACAGGGCAGATTCATTTCATTAAGATAAGAACTCCACTGTACGGGTAGATAACACTTAAGTTTAGACTTTTTGTGTTAGTGGTTTGCTCTTCTACATTATCTTTTTAACTTTCCTATATCTATGTTTATCCAGGGCTCAGGCCTGGAGGGACGACATGACCTAGCTTTCATATCACCGTTTTCTCTAAAGTCTGTGAGAGTTGTCTGTTAGCGACATGCTAGCTGTTTGTATCTGGCTGCCCTTTTTCCACTTCATTCCTAAATTTGTAATTTACATTTTTGCATGTCAAACAACTGGGGATGTTCCTGGGCTCTGGGCTTCTTCTGCTTTTTTTGGCTTTCTGTGCAGTTTATCTTGGTGAACGACGGCAAATTCAAATCATCCTGATGGACAGTGAGTCCCGTACACCAGAGACTCTCCTCCACGCCGTTACCACCAACACAGTGAGGAAATCCTACAGGACTGCTCCTCTGAGAAAGAGGACTTAAACAACAACAACAAAAAAGTAACCAGGAGGGGGAAGATGAAAAAAAATGGAATTAAAGACAGACTGAAGAGGGAAATATGTAAACACAGCGCGGCCCCCTCAGTCATCCTGGACAACATTCGCTCTTTGCTCAACAAATCAGACGAGCTGCAAGCCAACGTTAACCACATGCATGAATATAGGACTGCCTCAGTTCTTGCAGTTAAATAAGAAAGACAACGATGACATGCTGCACGTTGGTGGTATCCTCCAGCTACATCAGTGAGCAAGTGGAGTGTCCTCATACATCGTCTTCAGAGTGGACGATATCATTCCCAATAAAAAGATAACGTACCCCAACAACAAACACTGGATAACCCAAGAGCTCAAGGGAATTATCAACAAAAAGAAAAAAAAAATCTACACTGGCAATGAATGTGAAAAAAAACTGATGCTAACAGGAAAGTAAAGTCACTCCAGGGAGTCTCTGCTCAGCTTTTTGGGGGATTAAAAACGTGACTTCTGTGAACACCACTCCTACCATCTCCAGGACCATCCAGGTAGCAGATAGCAGCCCAGCATCCCTCCCCAACGACCTCAACACCTTCTTCTGAGACAGACAGCACCACCCAGATAGATGCAATCATCTCAGCTCAGCTTCAACATGGAGGAGGTGGTGAGAACCTTCAAGAGGACCGAGGAGAACACGGTACCTGGTCTAGACAACATCAGTGGTCAGGTTCTGTGGTGCTGTGCAGAGCGGCTAGCAGGCGTTCCAGCTCCTGAAATATATGGACAGCAGCATAGTTCCCACAGTGGTCCCCACGCTGAAGAAGAACTCATGACCTCAGGTCTGTGGCTCTCACCTCTCGTGTGATGACAGATATGGAGAGGCAGAAGCACATCATCAAGCTGACCAACCCACTGATGGAGCCTCTCTAGCTCACGTAGCATGCCAGCATCATGGACAAGCATGAGGAACAACCCAACAGCACAGCCAGACTCCTGTTTGCAGGCGTCTCCTCAGCATTCAACGCTCTACAGCCACACATCCTGGAGGAGAAACTCTCCATCTGCTTCCACCTGGAGGACCAGCGTCTTCCTGACTAACAGGCCACAGAGTCCTGGTCGGACCTCTCCTTCAGGTCTACCAGCTCCCCTCAGGGCTGCGTCCTCTCACTTCTGCTCTTCATCCTTTATTCCGATGACTGCAGGTCCATCCATCCCGTCCGTCATCTGGTTCTGTACGCAGATGACAGCTCAGCACTCCATGAGTTTGTGGAGTGGTTTGATAAATCCTCCCTGGAGTTAAACGTGGAAAAGACCAACCAGACGGTGGTAACCTTCTCCAGCGAGCAGAGGGAGCTGCACCAGCTGTCAGCATCACATCCCATTAAAATCTGCCTCCAACACTGAGGAGATGCCGGCAGCAGTGATATCTACTGAGGAAGCTTTTGGTGTCAGCAGGAACATCTAAAGGACTTTTTACTTCTCCTTCATTGACAGTTTCATTAAATTCTCTGTAGCTTGCTGGTTTCACTCCTTTAAACCAGGAGCGCTGCAGAACACCGTGTGCAGGACTCAGGAGGAGAGCAGCCTTTGTTCTCAGGGCTGTTCAGCTCCTCTGCACTGGACCCACCTCGCTCATCCATCCACAATGTCATTTCTTAACTTTCAGATTGAAAAAGTTTGCAGCTACCCTCCATGGCACTGCAAGCATCATAGTTTTCCTGAAAAGGCTTTTAGTTTCTGTGTGCCAACAAATATTTCAGCAGCACCATCTGGCCACCCCTATGAAAGCTTTCAGGAGGCGCCATTGTAAAACTCTCAGCACTCTTAGCGGGAAGAGGAACTCTATAGTTGGCAGTCATTCTCTGTGACTTCATCACCATAAACCCCCTTTTTAACATGCAGGTAGTTCTGTGAGCCGTTGTTAGTTATTTACCTCGACCACATGCACACGACCAGCACCAGCACAGCCAGCATGAGTTCAACTTACTTCTCAGGGTTGTCGATCTCCTCCGTCACAAAATTCAAGTAGAACCTGGAAAAGGAAGCAGCTGTTATCGAAGCTCCAGCGGTTAATAAATGCGAACAATGCATGTAGAACCGAGAACAAACAAAACTACATTGAACAGACTGGAAGCCCTTAAGTTTGATGCCTGCTGTGCAGCTGCATCCATGTGCATGTTGACAGTGAGCATGGAGCAAACCTACCACCCAGCGTATGCATACATCCCAGAGTAGAAAGCCAGCGGCATGCCAGACAGCTTCACATTGCTCAGCTCAAAGGCATTCTCAAAGTTTCTGGTCTCTCCTGCAAACACACACACACACACACACACACACACACACACATCTCTTCTAATGCATTGTCTGAAGCACTATAATTGTTTCTAAATGAAGAGGGATTGTTGCCGCCGTGAAATGATCAGCGCAAACAGTTCTGCACAAGACCGAGAGCAATAATAGCCACAATAATAACAATAATAATAAAAGTACAATAGCAATAAAACAGATGAATGGAGCAGCGCTCTGCCTTATTAACTCAGAGAAATAGATTGTTCTCAACAACACAGGTTCATATTAAGTCGTTCCCAGATGTAATCAGTGCTCTACTGTAATCACATTTATAAACAGAACCTGCTCATACAAACAGGTAATGTTCACTGTAGTGCTCGGTGCCATAAATTGTGTGTGATGATCACTGTGGGAAGAGGTGAGCACAGGTACTATCAGACCTGATCAGATGGGTGGGAAAACGGATTCAGTGGTTTAAAAAAAGCGTTATTTTATAGCCTGTTTTATTCAGTCTGAAGTGTTGCACAGGCAGCCATACTTAGCTGAGTCTTTACATTTTCTGCTACTTATTACAGAGGAAAACTACATTTCTTTAAAGGGAAGCGTTTAGCTGCCTGTCATAGATGTTCAGCACACATCTAAGACAGAACAGCAACATGACAGATTAAAATCAACAAGTTACCGAGCAGACATAAAGCAGTTCATCATGTTTCTGGACATTAAACAGTTGGTCATGTGGGAGCACAAATGATTCACTTATGCACCAGAATCTGAACAAGTCATTCATTGTAGAACATGAATGAGGAGTTACCTTCATGATACGAGTTAATGAAAGTCTATGAATTCATATTTTGTTCACATTAGGATAGCAGACTTTGTTAGACACTACAAATCCAGAGTATAGTTCATTTAAAGACCAAAAGATGTCAATTCATGTCCGTGATTTATTAATATGCAAATAGGAATGGCAATAGTGTGTGTTTTTTTAAATCAGCATCTGCCGGCTTTATCTGTTTTTTATTAACATCATCTTTAGAGAATGAAGGAGTAAAACAGCATAGGTCGGGACGACTCGTGCAGCTTGAAAAAAAAAAAGATTTGCGCTTGAATCTTTTTAGATATTTGTTTTCATCCTGACTGAAAGAAAACAGAAATTAGCCACCTGGAATGAACATTTTCAAAACGGCATCAGTGATCTCCATCTGTAGACATTCTCCAGCTGACTTAATCACCCTGAACGCTCATCTATGCACGCCGGCTTGTTTACACGTCATCCGGACTTTACTTGACACTCAACCGCTAAATGCAGTGGTGGAGTTTCACGGGGGGACTGGGAATGAACCAGCAGAAGCTCAGGAAGAGACAAACAGCTAGATTTCTAATGTGAGACCTACAGCTAAGGGGGAGACAGGAACTCCACCTCTGAACACCTGCTGCGAGGACATTGTGAAATGCTCAAGCTGCTGCTTGCTGTGAGCAGCTGTGCATCATGGCCTGCGAGGCTTCAAGGTTATATTTACAGTGCGCGTTGTTTGTGTGAGACAAAAGGAAGTCGGGCTAATTGTTGCAGCTGAGCGCTCTGTGTGAAGCCTGGAGATGTTCTTGAACAGCAGTTACATGAATGGAACGATGAGAGTCCCCCAGAGTCCGGACGGTGTTTGGAGCTCTGGTGTAGAGCTAATAGGGGCTATTAGAAGTGATGATGATGATGATGATGATGATGATGATGATGATGATGATGATGACGGGGTGGGTGGTGTTTTACCTTTAAAGAGCTGGTACATTCCAGGCACGATAATAATGCCGATAGCCAGCAGCTTGCTGAAGGTGAGGAATATCTGAATCCTGGCTGTCCAGGTCACACTCATACTGTTCAGGTACATGACAGAAGCTGCAGAGAAGAGAGAAGGTTATTAACAGCAGCCGAGAACACTCTTTCCAAACGTACTAGTTAGCCATCCTGTCCCTTCACATGTGGTATTTACATATATTTGTCTGTAGAGATTGAAGTCTAAGTGACAGTATTGGAAATACACTGAATTTGAACACTTGTCAGTTTATTTCAACAAGGCGCTGCACCACTCAATGCTGCAGCTCTGTGGCTCATGCTAACATGCTAACATGCTCAGTGTTGCAGACATTCAGGGTAACGAGGAGTTGCAGCAACACACTCCACCGACAATCAAACTGAAACCATCAACACTCGGTAATCCACCATCACATTCAACAGCTCGGTCTCCAGAAAGGCAGCATCTCATGCATGAACAACACTGGCCTGCATGGATAAATATTGGGTTTAGGTGTCGATAGAGCCCTGATATTTACTGCTCACATGCTGTTGTGCAACTCCTCATTTCCCTTATTTTCTACAGCAGTAAGTCCAAAGTCTGAAGTTTGCATGACGCACAGATAAACAATAATATCAGATATACTGGGTTAAAATTAAACTGAAACGTCCGGTAACTCTGGGCCCTCCTTAGCTGTAAACCACTGGGAAAGCTTTCAACTGATATCACAGATTCTGTGTCATTGTTCTCCTTCAGAACCCGGTTTGCATTATTAGTGGACTGTGACAAAATGCATTTACTCAGTTACTGCACTTCAGGACCGTTTTCACATACTTGAACTGTAGCTGAGAATTTCCATGTGATGCTACTTCCTGCTTCCACTCCTCTACACTGCAGACTAAACCACTGAACTTTCTACTCCATGATGTTATCTGACAGCTTTGATTACTTTTAAGATTAAGATAGCACAATGGGCAAGCTTCTTCAAAAGCCCCACATTGTTAAAGCTGCTTCCAACCTTTTTGTCTTCCTCTGAAAAAAACATAAAACATTGTTTTCTCACATTTCAGATGCCTGTGAGTTGTAAACAGGGATCTTTCCTTCTAAACTTGTGGCTCTGGCTAAACGTGGTTTCTCTTTATTTCTCCGTAATTTATAGGAAATACATTAATAAATATGTGTCAGAGGGACAAAATCAGCTTGTACAATATCACGAGGCATGAGAGCAGCATTCAGGCACCATTTGTTGGTTAAAACACTATAAACTGCTCCTGAATGAGTCTGTGGCTGTGAGATGGTGACTGTCGCTACCACGGTGTTAGATTTCAGCTTAGATGCGACAACATTGGCGACTTCTTCTCCCTGATCTGCTCAGTAAGCTGTGGTATACATCTTTGCACAGTTTCTGTTTCTGTTCTTATTTAAGGTTTCATTTTAAAAGATAAAGGCAGTCCTGGCTCCACATTTGTTTTCCACATGCATTCCATCACGCTGCCTCCTCTGCCTCTCACTGCACCGTTAGATGTTCTACAAGCATCTACGCCTTGTCATTTGCCAAGCAGGTCACACCAGGTCAAGAAGATGTAACCCTGACACATTATCAGATAGATGTGGGAATATAACAGGAGTCCAGTACTTATGCCGATGGCTGTGGCCAGCTTGACAGCCATGGGGGGGATGTTGCACGGCATAAACAAAGGCTCCAGGATGTACTGACCAAAGGCCAGAGAAATGACTGCCATTGCTGCAGGCCTGCAGGACACAACACAAATGGATCAGTTGTCACAATGACATGAATCAAACAAAAACGTGCAGAGTTGTCAAACCCACAAAGGATTCTTACTCACCTCTTTTAAGACACTTTTCCTTATATTTTATTTTGTTTAGCGGCACATTAAGTGTATGAATACATTGACTATTTTCAGTGAAAAAAAGAAAATGCAGCAAACAGCAGACAGACCCAGTTACAAACTCGCTCACAAACATGGTGACGGTGTAGCATTGAGTGGCTACAGAGGAAACGGTGTGGATCAGAATCAGAGCTGAAAGAGGATGAGTATTGGACTTACTCTCCATTCATTAGACGTGATGTTGATGTTGTTCTGCAGGATGTGAAAACATTCAAATGTCATCAGACGATATTGACATAACTACGTCGTAAACGCTTTGCGTGTGTTTTGCACTTCGGTTACCTCCTCATGGACGATGAAATGATCTCCAAAAGGCACAAAGTTACAGACGACACATTCCCTTTACATTTTGAACAAAATCTTTTTTTTCTCTCTCTTCATCTTTCACATTTTCAAAATAACAAAAAGAGGAAAAGGGCCACAGCAAAAGTTTGGGCACCCTGCACACCTAGCAGCACCCTCTTTGGCAAGTATCACAGCTTGTAAATACTTTTAGTAGCCAGCCAGGAGTCTTTCAGTTCTTGTTTGAGAGATTTTCGCCCATTCTACTGTAAAAACTCTTCTAGTTCTGTGAAGTTCCTGGACCGTCTTGCATGCGCTGCTCTTTTAAGGTCTGTCCACAGATTTTCAATGATGTTCAGGTCAGGAGACGGTGAGGGCCACGGCAAAGCTTCACCTGCGCCTCTTGAGGTCGTCCATCGTGGATTTTGAGGTGTGTTTAGGATCATTATCCACTTGTAGAAGCCTTCCTCTTTTCAAATTCAGCTTTTTTACAGAATTTTTAGAATTGAATTGAATCCATTCTTCCTGCTACCTGTGAAATGTTCCCCGTGCCACTGGCTGCAATACGACCCCAAAGCGTGATCAATCCACCGCCATGCTGAACAGCTGGACAGGTGTTCTTCTCATGAAACTCTGTCCTTTGTTCTCCTAACATACCTTTGCTCATTTCAGCCAAAAAGTGTAATTTTAGCCTCCTCGTTCCACAGGACTTGTCTAAAACTCAGACCCTGAGTTTTGTGGCGACGACGCCGGAGAGGTTTTCTTTTGATGACTCTTCCATGAAGGCCATATTTGTGCAGGTGTTGCTGAACAGTTGAACTGTGTACCACAGCTCCACTGTCTGCCAGATCTTCCTGGAGGTCTCCTCCAGTCACACGGGGGTTCTGACTTGCTTTCCAATGATCCTACGAGCACTTCTCTCTGATAGTCTTTTTGGTCTTCCAGACCTTGTCTTGTCTTGTTTCTTAACTACATTCAGAACTTAGGAAATCTGTACCTGAAAACGTTTTTCTATCTTTTTATAGCTTTCTCCTGCTTTGTGGGCGTCAATCATTTTCAGTTTCAGAGTTCTAGGCAACTGCTTGGAGGAACCCACGGCTGCTGATTGTTGGGACACGGTTAGAGGAGTCTGGGTATTTACAAAGCACTGGAACTTGCATCACCTGGTCTTTCCTAATGATGATTTTGAACAAACCACGACCCTATCAGGCTAATTAAGGTCTGACATCTTGGTCACAGTTATCTGGGAGCTCAAGGCTCCTGGGGTTCTGTTGTCGGGTGCTGCTTTCATTTGTTCACTCAAAACTTGTACAAAACAGAAATAAAACATTGATATTGCTTAAAATGTTGAAAAGAGTGTTTCATGTTAAACGTCACGCCTTTTGGAGATCATTTCATCTGATACTTGCTTAATTGTTCACATGAACAGAATTTTTGACCAGAGGTGCTCAAACCTTTTCATGCCTCTGTGTAAAGCTGGTTTTCACACATTCCCTGTTACTGTAAATGAAATGAAGAAAGCTGCACTGACAGAATGTAGTTGTATTTTGTTGCTGGTTAATATAAAAGTACATGAATAGATTTTTGTTTGGTACTAATTGATTTGACAAAACTAACACACCAAACAAAATGTGTCATGTAGGAGCAGCAAATAACAGCAGTAGTAACAGTAATGTACAGGGAATGAGGCTCCGCTTCACCTACTGACAGTTAAAGTGGTTTTGATGATTCCTAACTTAATCAAATCATGTTTGCAAAGTATAAAGACAAATAACTTCCCTACAAAATAAATGTTAAAATAATAATAATAATAATAATAGACTACTTCACATGTGTATTAGACCCCCACCCAGTGTGAGGTTTACGCCACAGCTGCCCTAAATTAACACCGATGGTAATCACCACAACCATGTCTTATGCTTCTGTCATGGTTAATACACCAGGATGTAGAAGCTCTTTAACCAACATGATGTTTTTAATGCTAAAATATAATTATTGTTTCCATGAATTTTCAAATTTACAGTTTTATAAAAATAAATGTTTTAAATAGTAAAGCACATTATTATTTTTTGATGAAGATGTCAAATTACAGTGATTTACTTGCATTCCTGAACAAAAAAAATAAATGTTTTAGTGACTGAATGTGATGCTTGATTAACTCCTCAGAGAAGCCCAGAGGCTCAGGTTTGGGTATAAAAAGGTGAATTCAGTTAGAAATTCCTCATTCCTGTTCAAAATGGTAAAACATGGAGAGCTGAGTGTGAACTGAAGCCCTTCATGATGCTGGATGTGCTTAAAAAATTGCACAGGTGTTCTAATAAATCTGTTAAGCGCTGTATACACTGAATATTTCAATTACATTCTGCAGAGCAAACAAAGCAAATGAGAGATAAATACTAATAAGTGGCTGCAGCGAGCCCAATCTGACCCGACTCTGACTGTAGCAGGTGTTGTTGCTGCAGATGTGTGTGCAACATCAAATGAACATCCTCCTAGACAAACCGTTCCTACAATCACATCCTGGTGCGGTGGACAGTCTATAGACTTGGTTTTAATAAGAATGAATAAAAGTTGGCCAGTCCCGCAGGCTCATCGTATGGCTCATCAGTATTTCCCTCCTTCATTTCCCACAGCAGCCACTGAGCCACTGCAGCCGGGGAAATCTCTCTTTGTCCCTCTTATTCTTGTTTTCATTCTCTGCTTCTGTCTCTGTTCATTTCCCATGGTTTCCATTCAGTCCCTCTAGCCTGGGGGCAGCATAAAATTGGGCAGCTCAGGACAGCCACCAGACTGTTTGTTCTGCTCCGCCTTGGCCGTATACACACAGCTGTGTGTGGAGCGTTTTCTCACCTCTCCTGTCCAAACTAAACTCAGCATCCAACGCAAGGTCACAGGCAGAGGCTTGTGTGGAAGCCTCTGTTAAAAAACAACCAAAAAAACACAAAAAATCTGGTCTGACAGATCTTCTGCACCACACGTCGTATGTTTGGGAGCCTAACCACTGAGTCATGCACTGCAGGCTTTAAAGGTGCCTCTGAAAGGTTTGCAGGTTGTTCCTTCATTGAGGATGGCAACTACAGTAAAGATGGATTCCCATGGTCGCAAGTGACTTCTGTGGAGATCTAAAAACAACTGTGCTTTCATCAGTGCAGTCAAATACAAATGTCAAGTGAACAGACATAGAGAGTGGTGTATTGTGCCAGCAGAGGGTCAGGATCAGGGTCAGGTGTTTTCAGGCTGTTCATAGCCTTTCAGTCTGAGTCAGCCTTAAAAGTGTGTTTGGTTGCCACGTTTAACCTGCAGGAGTCTCTGAAGGCACCTGTAATGTGTTTTTAGAAAAAAACAACTCACGATGCCTAACCAGGATTTCATAACGTCTCCCTGAATCTTTACTGCAGAAAAAAAAAAAGAATCTATCAAACAGCCGAGAATTACAGCTGTCACTGAGGACAAGCTCCAAACCGAGAGTCTGATAAATGTTAAGTGTCAGAGAAAATGATTCCTGGCATCAAGAGCCTGACAGCAGAGAATAAGTCTGTGACTGATAGACAAGATACACTAATGGTCTGCCACGTATACACTTCCACGTATCAGCAGGTGCCATGTTTCATTTATACAAGAGAAAAAGGTTTCAGTGATGAGGACGATCTTCCTCTGAGGCGAATTGTATTTCAGGAAAACTTTCCTGGAAAAACACAAGACAATGTAAGTCTTTGTTGAAAAGCAGATGTTTTAAACAGCACATTGTCTTATTGTCAAGCCAGAAGGTATTCCTGCTGCCTCGGTGAAAACATTAGATGCACAGTTCTGAAACATGCATGAAACTAAATTTGGGAGGAATCATCCAGGCTTTTCTTATTTCATGCCTTCAGCAGTGCAACAACACAATAAAGGGTCCAAAGCATCTAATTCCTCCGTGACTTGTCCAAGACTTTTCTTTACAAAAACCCTTTTGCTGTATATAACATAATGTAATGTTGGGAGGGTATTAAGGGGGGTTAGATAGATACCACACAAGCCAAGTTTGTTTTTCTTTCTAAAATAATCTCCATCCGGGAGCTTTTGAACAGAGTCCAACATTTTTTATTCTGTTTTTGGTCCGTTCAGTCATCAAGGAGAACATGTAGAAAGCTGCTACACAACATGTTTCAGTGGCTTACGTTGGGTGTTTTAGCTAAATTTATTTTGGCATGTAGGAGGCAACAGATCTGAAACTCAAGCACATAAACTTGCCTTGGCTAACGTCGCGGGGGTTTTCGGTTCCTTCCCACTGCTGAAGCTTAGAGGGAATCCAGATGTTTTGGATTGTTGGTGTTTCTGCCTTTGTTAAGCGCTATGAGATGACCTGTTGTTGTAAATATCCATCCATCCATTATCTATACACCGCTTAATCCTCACCAGGGTCATGGGGGGCTGGAGTCTATCCCAGCTGACTCAGGGTGAAGGCAGGTTCACCTGGACAGGTAACCAGTCTATCACAGGGCTACACTTAGAGACAGACAACCAAGCACACTCACATTCACACCTACAGACAATTTACAATCACCAATTAACCTCAGCATGTTTGTGGACTGTGGGAGGAAGCCGGAGAACCCGGAGAGAACCCACGCTGCACGGGGAGAACATGGAGACTCCACGCAGAAAGATTCCAGTGCCCCCACCGGGACGCCAACCGGAGACCTTCTTGCTGTGAGGCAACAGTGCTAACCACCTGCACCACCCTGCAGCCCTCTGTTGTAAATATGCGCTATACAAATAAAACTGAATTGAATTGAGTTAAGATGTGCGTCCATCAGACCGTTAACATAAGCTTTCCTTTGGATGTGTGTTCACAAGGTGTTTACAATGTGATTCTCACTTACACACACTCGTGGACCAGAGCTGCTGTGCAGGGTGCTCAGGGTTCAGTGTCTTGTCCAGAGGCACTGAAAAATGTGGAGGGGATTGGGATTGAGCCCCCAACTGTGTGAGTGGTGGACAACCTGAGCCAGGGCTGCCCTGTCCACCTGGGTCAAACGTTCATTCTCTTCAATCTCAGCTTTTGGTCTCGACAAACTGCTAAATTTTTTACAATGTGTTCCCCAGCTAGAATTTAAATGTGTCTGTCTGCTGTGGTGGCGCACAATGAGTTGTCGTAGCTGAAAGTTGGGTTCAAGAGACCAAACTTATAGCCTTATACCTACCTTATAGCAATGAGATCAGCCCATAGTCTTATAAAAGCCATCTGGGGTCCAAACGCTTCCATTATATATGTGTAATGTCCACCAGACTTCTTAATACAAGTCCCCAGCTCGGCGTAGGACAGGGCTCCTGCAGTGACAGAGGTGACATATTAGTTCTGGCTCTGAAACAAGAGGGTAGTTACAGAAGAGTCCCAGGGCTGTTAAACTGTCTCCGCCACATCCATAGAACAGTACAGTCTCTCCCTGGGCCCCATGATCACTGAAATATATTACTGTGGGAGCCTCTCCGGGTCCAGATCCATAACTTAAGAAAGTGAGATTTAGGTGGACGGATTTTAATTACAAGTTTAGGCAATGGGAATTAAGGAGAGCAGGGAAGGGGTTAAGGGAGGGTATTCAAGGATAATGTGCTTAGGGCTTTCATTACAGCATGAAAACTCCAGGATTTAAGGATACCACTACAATATACATATATGCTACAGTACACAGATGGGCACAGCGCTGCCTCCTGCAGCACTGCTGTTTCTACTGTGACTGCTAGAAATTACATTATACACTCCTTCAATGCTTTTTTTGGGGGGCTTTTTTTCCCAATTATGTTGTGGCAGCAAACGTAATCATCGGTGGGATTATGTTCAGTGGGAACGGTTTTATGAGTGAATGAAGCTCCACCTTTATAAAGCGAACCACAGCTGCAGGGAGACTGCTGAAGGTTCATCTCTCTGTCTGTGGTTTAGGCAACAAAAAGCACTGTGGTTGAGGTTGAAAGAAGTTGAATGTAAATAAACACATTGTGTCACAAGTTACTTTGGACTTTTCCGGTATTAAAGCGAACCACTATCTTTCCCCAAACCTCATCCAAGAGCTAACAGAGTCAGAACGGAGCCAAAAGGCAGCTGAATGATGCTGCTAGCGGGTGTTCTGCTGCAGGATCACACAGTTAAGGCCCGCTAGGAAGTCCGACTGATAGAAAACCTGTCCACACATGGACAGAAAAGTCAAAAAGGATGTAAAAAGAAGACATTTATTTCACATTTGAAAAAGGGAAAAAGCTGTCTGTGACGTTGTAGAGCAGCTTTTATTAGCTGGATGCTGAGAGTCACTTCAGGTTCAAGAAAAATTCTGCATGAAACGTGTCGTCCATTCTGACTGTAGCGGTGAAAGACCGACGTGTACTCAGCTACACTGCGCTGCTATTTACAGTCACATTTCTCATTGTTTGCTCTGAAGGTCATTATTTCTGACTGTTGTGGCAAATCGATGAGCCACTCAACTGGTCGGGAGTGAGCTTGCTTTTCTTCCCCCTTCACAGCACAGCACCCTTAATCCAGGGTATTCATTACTGAAATTAACTATTTATCAAGGATGACATTTTTGAGCTCCTTAATTCCTCAAGCTTGCCCGTGGACAAAACCTACCGCTCTTACTCCTTCCATTCTCATGTTGTGGAAAAAGAAAGAAATCAGGCTGCTAGTCTACAAAAGAAAAAGGGTTCTAGAGGGTTAGGTTATGGTTAGTGTTGCCTTCGTGTGAGTTAAATTTCATCATCTTACCGAGTGCACAAGAGTCGGACCAACCACAGATGTCTCCGATGCAACACTTGCATCCGTGCACGACTATGGTGCAACGGCACGAGTATGCATGGTTGGAAAGAGTATATGAACATACTTATATGGAAATAGGTATGCGAAGGAGACTCCAAGCATCAATAGTGGAATAACAATAACTGTGCTTTGTGGTGTCGATGTGTGCAGACAGTCGAATCAAGGAACTGATGAAAACCTTGTACATCCCTGCAGTCTGGACGGTTTCATATCTTTGGGCACTCCGTTAAAACGTCCATCTTCTCACCATATTATGGAATAAACTGCAAAAGTCAACAAATACTTCCAAATACTCTTATTTTTGAATCACATTTTGCTCAATGGATACATGGACAGTGGTCTGTCACCACAGTCACATTAGGGTTTCTGTGAACAATGATAAAAGACTTTAGAGTTAAAATGGGAGGTGAACCTCTGTTTCTACACGAGGCTGAGAACTTTCTGTAAGGCTCTGCTCTCTGTCTGCAGCCTCAGATGGATTCAGTGCCTTTGTTTGCATGTGGCACCAAGTAGCTCTTTATTAGCAGCATTCACAAACGTAGAGACTATAAATAGTAATCACTACACCTCGCTGCAGCACCACCTGCCCTCTGTGCGTCTCAGCTCGCTTGTAGCGATACAAGCCGGAGTAATGAAGGGATTAGATGCAGGTTTTCACACGTGGTCCTTCTAAAAGTCAAGTCCTGGCGGTTACACAGTAATGCTGCTGACTGGGGTCATCAAATTACTAAATGACAACTTTAAATGAATGCCAGGCTTTGGTGGACCCTGCAGGTCTGGGGGGCCCTGGGGGGCAACTGGTTGATGATCTGAGCTTCCTTTCACGTGTGCTTCAGTTATTCTGGCATGCACTCTGCGTTATTACTCTATGATCAGCGCCAACTTGATGTCTTTTCCTTTGTTAATAGGGCAGTTATTAACTTTACCTCATGATAAAATCATGTATTTTCATGTGGGGAAAACATGTGATAACTGAACCCTTTCAACACTATGGGCCGCTGTACCGGGCTGGCATTAAGACTCCCGTCCAATCCTGCAACCCGGTATAGCGGCTCCGGTATATGGTGACCTTCTGCTACATTCATTTTGATTATCTGTCAGTGGGAATCCCCGAATGTGAGCAAGAGATTCAGTCATGAAATAAATTATGAAAATAATAATAAGAATAATAATAATTATTATAATAATAATAATAATAATAACAGCATCATAACACAGTAACAGCCCGTTACACTGCAAATTGGGCCGATACGTTGTTTTCGAGGGTACAGGAGGGTATAACGGGAAAATATTTAACAAGCACCGATGGAGTTTCACTACCGTCATCCTCGCTGCTAACCTTCCCCCCTGTACGCTGTAAAAAAACATCCTGGTGAGGACACTGGCATGTAGACATATATCCCTGGTAGTGTCTATGACCAGAGTGGACTTCCAGATGTATTCAACCGTCAGCTTGTCTACTTTTGATTGATACCTGATATGTAACGATGTGAAGTCTGCTTAAGAATCTATGAGCGATTAATCAAAACCACATCTGATCATGAAGTTCAAGCAAAGTGTTGAAAGGGTTAAAAGGTTGACATAATGCTCGCCATTAATGGGTTAATTATTACACTTAAGACAGCAGAGAGAATCATATACTTGTGGGCTAATAATGCACTGTGTTGGTCAGCAGCTAGCACGATCCCAAACAAGTCCAACCGTCCTGGAATAACCTCAGCTGTTCATCCTTTACACATGCATAACATAACATAACATAATATAATATGTGTGGCTGGTGCAGAACACGAACACACTGCTGGAGGAGGACGTGTTTTATCAGGCCTCTTGCTTCTGAATGCCAGAGCGGATCAACTCGTCATATTCTTACATTTGTTTCAATGTGATGTCTTAACCAGGAGCTTTGAGCTTCTGGATAATCAAGCCTCTGCACGTCTAACAAGAAGCTATGTGAACAGCATTTGTGCACCACGATGGGAACCACACGCTGGCATGGTTTGTGTCCGCTCAAACTGATTATTAGATAGAAGAATAAAATATTCATAATCAAGAGATGAGGAGGTGTTTTTAAATTCACTCAACATGTGCAGCTTCTTTCTGTAGAACAGCATGAAGGCAGGTCACACAATAACAGAGCAAATTCAAACTGGTTTTTAGTGATAATAAAGTGCTTTGTTCTCAAACTGTACATACAAACTGTTTATGTTCTTAGTCATAAAACAGCATCATAAATTATTAACGCTCATTGTTTTTAATTAAATGTTACATATTTACAGGTTTTATGATTATTACTATTCACAGGTCTTATCTTAATATTTTCTACATTTGCTCTCACCAGATTTTTTTTAATCTGCGTGCAGTCAGTCAGTATTTCTGAAGTTCCACCTCCACCAGCATCTTTCTCAGCCGCTGCACGTGCTCTCAGATCAGAACACACAACAAACTTCTGAAACAACTCACCGAAGAGTGACAGCACGCCACAGGCGATCCACACTATCAGGGACATCCCGATGCTACCCGAGTGACTCAGGATTCCCTTTGGCGAGATGAAGATCCCGGCCCCGATGATGGTCCCGATGATGATGGAGATCCCTCGGAGCAGCGTCACCTTCTTCCCCAGTTCCACTTTTCTGTTGTCCTCGTCCTGCACTTTTGAAACTGGATCAGTCCCATTTTGGGAAGCTTTGTGTCCGTTTGCAGCGGCTTTCTCATCACTGTGAGCAGATGCAGACCTGTTGGTCATCTTTTGAGGCACTGCACACAGTGTTCTTTCGGTGGAGTGTTGCTGACCTATGAGCTGCTCCTGGTCTGGGTCCACTCAGTCTGTGACTGAGCCAAGTTGCAAAACTCAGAGAGGACAGCCCTCCTCATTCACTCTCCCTCTCCCTCTCTCTCTCTTTTATTGTCATTGATGCCCTGTTCACTGATCCCTCTCTATTAAACCCGGGGTGTCTCCTTTTCACCTCTTTGATGTCAGCAAACTTTTTTTCTTTTTCTTTTTTTCCTCGTTTGCCTTTCCTGGTTTCCTGGTTGCTCCGGTCTGAATTGCTGTCTCATCCTGTGCGAGGGTTTCTGTAGTCCCTCCCCTCCCACTTGTGAGTTCCTAAAACCAGCTGTAATTCACTAAGGTGAGGAGTTGTGCTGCTTTGATGCTACGTAATCTTAACGCAACCACATGTTTTCACAGCACCTTCGAGCTTCCTGGTCTCTGCTGCAACTCCCAATTCTCTTTTGTCTACTTTTTTCTTCTCAAAATTCAGTATGTGGTTCTGTTTTCAGCCCGATTTCAGTCCTGGCTCAGATTGACTTTCAGCATTAAAACAAAGCTGTAGGAATTGCCCTGTGGGGCTTTCATCTGTGGCAACAAGCTCGGATGGGACAGACTTCTTAGCGACTACTTCTGATTGTGGTGGGGTGTGGTGCTTTAAGAAACAGGAACTAGGGAAGTGTTGGCAAACACTTCAGAACTGTTATCAAAGATCCTAACACACACACACACACACACACACACACACACACACACACTAGTCTCTCTCCATTCATTGGGTATTATCAGGACGCTTATCTCAACCCCAATTCTAGCCTGAACCTCAAAACCAAGCTCGGTCTAAATGTGCTCACAGTGCAGCAGTGTTGCTACTGAATGATAGTTACACACCTGGACTTCTCACTCATGTTGAAATTAGACTTGAATTTATCACAAATGCAGCTCTAAGTGCTTCTCAAGATAATAAATTAAAAAATATGGAAAAACAAAGAGCATAAGAAGTAAAACAGGCAGTAAAGGTGGTAAAGGAGCATCAGCACGACAAGCACATTATACGACAGGATACAGTCGCTTTATACAAACATTAAAGTCTTTAAATTCATATATATGACTTCATGATACTCAGACAGGTGGAAATAGTGGATTTGTTGTTTCATCTGCAGGTTACAAGTTGCCCTGTGGAGTTTTCACAAAGCTCATTCGTCGTGTCACAAACTGAAATCTTATCTTCATCAGAAAACATCCGCAAAGCTGTTTCTTTGAATGTCCTCAAACGGCCTCTGAATAGTTGTTCTAATGTCATCAAACAGTCATTCTTGGCTGACGACTGGTGCAACGCTTACAGAGGAACCTGGTCAAATTCTCGTAACCGTCCTCTGAGTCATTTTTAAGGAACTTACTGGCTTGAGATCAAAAGCCTGGTAAGTAAGAAAGTGTTGAGAGACTAACACTAGTCTAACACATTGTTGGTTCTGGTCTTTTCATGGGAAATGTGTACATTAAATAAAATATAAATGTCTTTGTGATCCTGGGCAGTGTACAGTCTGCAGTATTCTAGTGTTAATCGTGTCACTTGCTGTGGTTTTGAGGTTTTCCTTGTGAAACCTGTCAGCAGCCCAGTGCAAAGGAAAAGAGAAGCAGATAGCGTGCCATGATGCAAAAACTGCTGATGACAGCTGATGATGGCTATATAAAAACATAATAAATGTCTTTTTTAGAGACAGGATGTTCATCTGTAAGCACAATCATTAAAGCTTGTCTGTAACTACAGAAGACAATCCAGTCCGTAGATCATCTGACATACTGTATATATTCCATTCAGATGCCTTTAATATCTATCACTGGATGTACAATCAGATTAACTGTGCAATATCACGCTACAAGATGGAATTCAGAGGGGAAAAAAAATCACATTTAAGAAGAGTATGAAACATAAAATAAAAGGATGAATAGGTTTATTAAAAGAACTGGTGCATTATGCGTACCTGCTGTGTACGTGGGTCAAGATCTGGGATGTGTCTGTATGGAGCTTTAATTTTATTTCAAAGTCAGCAAACATCCATCCATCCATCATCTCTACACCTTAGTCCTCACTAGGGTCATGGGGGGTGGAGCCTATCCCAGCTGACTCAGGGTGAAGGCAGGTTCACCTGGACAGGTAACCAGTCTATCACAGGGCTACACTTAGAGACAGACAACCAAGCACACTCACATTCACACCTACGGACAATTTACAATCACCAATTAACCTCAGCATGTTTCTGGACTGTGGGAGGAAGCCGGAGAACCCGGAGAGAACCCACGCTGCACGGGGAGAACATGGAGACAGTCAGCAAACACTTATTGCAAAACATTAGGAGTAATGTAGTGCATAATATGTAACGTAACAGCAACGTTTTTGTCTGATATCGTTCTATAACTCTTGGAAGTCCATCCATTATCTATACACCGCTTAATCCTCACTAGGGTTGCGGGGGGGATTATCAATTCTTGTTCTGTTGGATTGTGCTCTTGGGGGGAAAAGGTCAGCTCTAATGTACAGATCTGAGTGTATGTTGCTGATGTTAAACTAATTACAGAGAATAATCCAGAGTTTGAGTTAGAATAGAAACGTATTTGTGTGTCATATCTAAACATTATAAATGCATTCTGTCTTTATGGCTGCTATAAGCACGACTCGTTTGCAGCCCTGAGCAGTTACTATCCTAACCTAACAATGGACAGGCCATTTCTGTAAAGTCAACCATGTTAATAAATACAAACAGAGGCTGATGTGAGTGAGCAGATCGTTTGATTGTTAGCAGTTTGATGTAAGAATGCAAAACCAACCAACGGACACAGAGTCACGTGTAAAGCGGAGGTTTTCCAAGATCAAACAATACATACCATCAGAAAACTTTGGAATCTGATTCCAAGTTATATCCAAAGATATTAACTTCTTGGTTTTCACAGGATGGATGTAACTGGCAGGTGTGAATGTCATTCATTTCTAAGCTATAATTACCCAGGGTGGCTGGTGGTGCAGGCAGCTGTGTCTATTCAACGTATACGCCGTCTAAATGGATGCTGGGAGGTGGTGGAGAGGAGAGAGGACATGTTTTTATGGAGAAGTTTTGGTGTATAAAACTTGTCCAAAAGAAGAAAAAAATCGATGAATGTGGATAGAAATGCCCCAAGCTTTCATTAATCTTACATGTTTCACCCAAAATCACATATTTGTGTTTAATTGGACAAAAAAAAAAATCTGTGTTATTCCAGTAATTTGTATCGTCACAGTCCCAAAACTTATATGAGATCGAGAGCTCAGCTGGTTGCCAATGTCAGTGACAAGAAAGATAAGGCATATCAAAGAGAACCTGAAAACATCGTCTGAATGAACTGCACATGGGGGGAATCTGTTTGCAGAAGCATTGATCCTCGTTATCGTTGCACCTTTTCATAGGGCACAAGCTTTGACAAAATGCATGACAAATAATTACTCAGTGGCATTTCCCCCCCGTGAGACTTCATTGCGAAACTCTCCGGTGTTACACCATTTTCCCGAAATTGCTGAGCACTCTGTTGTGTAATGAACTCAGTATTTATCACTGTGTGGCTGTCCTGGAATCTCCAGTGTGTCCTTAAACTGTGATGCATGACTTTGGCCTTGAATTCCCTTCAGTGTCTTTATCTCAAACTTAGTTTGGCAAACTGCATGGCCTGTTTTCACCTCACCGGCACACTGTTGCTTTTCTGTTACACCTCTTCTGTGTGCTGGGAGGGGAGGAATGTGCAGCAGCTCTGCCTGCCTGCCCTTCAGCACTGTGCAGACTGAGCTGACTTCCAATCACGTAACTGTAATAAAAATAAAGAAGACAATAATTGAGGTTCCCATGGTCCCTGGAAAACCTGGAACCCTGAGAAATGAAAGCAAAGTGTTCCAGTTCCAAAGAAACAGCTGGGTATTGGCAAGGGTATTTCCATGGCTGCAGGCAGGAGCAGCTCAGGTTTAAACGGTAGTAAAAGCTGCATGAAGCCAATATTGACCACCAGAGTCAAATAGAAACAACAAACTCACCGAAGCCTTGACATCAATCCTCCTGTCCAATACTAATGTGTCATGCAGCGGTTACCAATGTATACATCCCATTTATCCAACAAGTTCTTCAATGTAAAGGAGATAAACTGATAAAACCACTGTTAGATAACTGAGCTTTAACAATGTGGTAGCGCTCCAGTTACAGGAACAAAAACTCCATTAAGTTTAAGCAGTGATGTTGGATTTAGGTTTGTCTCCATAGTAGATACTGAAGAATACAGTCAGTTTTTTGTTGTTGTTGTTGTTGTTTTCTGAGCACCTTGATTAATGCATCTGTTACTCTGTAAATGTAAAGTGAGCTCACGAGTTGCAAATGTTGCAGCAGGTATGTGGGTCAATGAGCACCAAACAGCACTGATACAAAGGAGGCTGGTGTTCATTTCAAACACATATGGCAACGCAAATAACCCTCTGATGTGTACTGTTGATTGATGCTCTGCGAATCTCTGCGTGTAAGCAGAGATAAGCAGCATAAAGTTCTCCAGCCAGCAGAGCATCCCAACAGTTAATGGCACCACTTCTTGCATTGTCAGCTCCCATTATTTTGATCACTACCATGATCTTAATCATACAACTTCAGACATAACTCGGTACAATTTTAACACAGTCATGTAAAAATATAAGTTGAGACACAACCTATCATTACCTCTGATGTCATCTAAAATGACAGCAAGTAGATGCTTCAGATTTTTTCAGGACACCCATGGGCATCTTCAAACAGCTGCAGAGAGCTAATTCAGCCTCATCTCATTGGGACCAGTTTTCAAAACCGTAAAAAGACAAAAAAGACTCAAAAGCAAATGAATGAATGTTGTAGCTGACATATCAGCATTACTTAATGGTTCCCAAATCGTGCTATAGGCTGATTGACTGGTTGCACGTTTCCATCAAATTAGTAAAACGTGTGTAACCCACTTTGCACTGAGCACTAATAAAGCAGAACGATCAGCAGCCATACAAAGATTCAGTTCAAGCTCAGGGAGGGCAACCGTTTGCCTCGACTGGTTGGGGGGAGTCCAGACTGGATTTTAATTTTAATGACAGGAGGGGAAATTAGTTCATGCAAAAAACAGAACAAAATAGGGGCTTTAATCTGCTTTAAAGGAAAAAAATGTTTAAAAAAATACTGTCACTAAGCAGAACATTTATTGTCAACATCATTCC